TAGGTCAAGAGGATGGGGGGGGGTGCCTTTTGCTAACCACCAGCCTTCCATTTTAGACCAGTTCACCTTCATTTTTGATGTGAGTCGGAAGGCTTCCATCGCTCTTACTAGGGCCTGAAAGGAGGAGTTCGTTGCGCTGATGAGAACCGTGACGTCGTCGGCGAACATCAACAGTGGGTAAGGCGAAGTCATGGATGGGGCTGTAGTTTTGTTCAGCGAGGCAGTGACTGACAGTCTATGAAGGGGGTTTTACAGAGGAAGGAGGCTATGGATTCCATGATGAACATAAAAATTGGGGGCGTGAGAGGGTCTCCTTGGCGAACGGATCTCGATATCGGGATAATGTCTGACAATAGTTATTTACTTGGACTCTGCTCGTGGCATCTCCGTAGAGCATTGTTACCCATTGTCTGAAGTTTGAGCCGACTCCCATCTTCTCCATACAGCTATGGAGGGAGTCCCAATTGACTTGAGCATAGGCCTTTTCAAAGTATAAAAAACAGGATCGCAGTCTGCATTCGTTTTTTTGTGACCTTCTTTGCTGCCTCATTCAGGGTACTCACATTATCTAGTATGCACATTCTTGGAATAAATCCTGCTTGGTCAATGTGAAAACAATTGTCTGTGAGTTTTATGATCCTGTTAGCGAGTACTTTTGCTAGGATTTTGTAGGGGGTTGTGAGATGTGAAATCAGTCAGTATTTTTTAAGATATTCTTTGTCCCCTTTCTTGTGGATTAGGGAGACCACACTCGTGCTTAAAATTGACCCAGACGACCATTTTCCTTGCTGTCATTGATGAAGTTGAGGAGGTCGTTCCCCATTATCAGCCAGAAGTAGACCCAAAACTCTTTGGATAGGTCATCCATTCCTGGTGCCTTGCCAATCCCCATCTAGGTAATTGGTTTGTACAGGTCCCCTGTGGTGATCCTTACCATACTTGTGCCGGCTGATTTTGTGTTGCCTTGGTCCGCTGGGTCTTTCAACCTCTCGATCATGTTGTTTCTAGCATTGGCCTTGATTTTGGAGAAGAAGAACTTTGTCATGGATTCGTTGAGGTTGTAGTCGGCCATTCTGGCCCGTAGTTGTAAGCCCCTAAGTTTTCATCTCCTCCATTCATTCAGCTCATCCTTGGTGGTCCAATGGTGGATGTGAGTAAGTCATGGTAGAAGTTGTTAGTGGGATCCGAAGCGAGGTTAGCTTCCGCAATCGACATAGCAATTTGGAGTTCCTCCTTCCTGATCTTGCGTTCTGCTGCTTTGTTTCTCGATTCAGATGATCCGCGTAGCTGTCTATGAACCATGGGTGTCTATTATGTCGCCTCGCCTCATCCTGTCGTATTAGCAGTGCGTTTGATCTGACTATCTCTGTCAGACCGTCTGTGGAGAGGAGAGAGTTGTTTAGTCTATAGAAGCCGTGACCTTTTTCAATCGGGGAGTTGAAAATGAGGAGCAGGTTGGTGGGTTTGTGATCCATCCCATTGAAGGCTGCTGCTGGTAGAATTCAGACCTCCTTAATTGCACCCTGCAGGGGTTCGGAGATCAGGAAAAAGTTGATCCTTGAGAGTGACGTTTGTTTTACTTGGTTTCTTTTGACTAGGGAGAAGGCTTTCGCACAAGGGTGAAGGGTTCGGAACGGATCGATCAGTTCGAACTCCGTCATGATGTCCGGGTGTGGGTACCTGCCTGTGTGGGGCCCAACAACAGGGATTGAGAGATGCGATCTATGCTGGGATCCAATGTCACGTTCCAGCCGCCTGCTATGATTATTGGTAGAGGATTTGGGAAGAGAGGTCTAATACTTTCAAAGAACACTTTCATTTTCTATGTTGGGCACGTGTAGGTTCAGAATCCTAAGCTCTTCTCCTTGCCATGTGATTTCGATCCAGGACCATCTACCTTCTGATGTGTCCCCTCCCCCGTGAAGTACCCGTCCATCGGACCAGATTTTGGAGGTGAGTGGGTATTTGGATTGTTGTCCCTCGTTTGCTAAGTTCCTCTTTGTTAGACCACAGTGTGAAGGACAACCGCCCATAACTTTTTCCATTGTCTTCTTGATTCTTGCATGGTTTGTACGATTGGAGAGGTGAGTTTCTTGTAGTAGGATAATGTCTGATTTCAGTTTCTTCTTATCTGTGAAGCCCAGCCGGATGTCTCGAAGTTTGTCTTCCTCGCTCACGATGTTCCCAAGTCGTTGATGTTCCAGCTATGGATCGTGAGCCCCTTGGTTTGCCAATCCGTTCTGACTGTCTCAGTCAGTGTCTTTTTTTTTTTTTTTTTTAAAGAAACAGCCCGAGTAGCTGCTAGGGGTGCTGATATGATCAGGCACCACTAGCAGTGCCGGGATGGCTCCATCTATTGGTGGGGAGCAACACCTGCTGGAATTCGGGTCCAGTGTCCCTGTAAGTACATTTAAAATGCAATTATACAGTTTGATGTGAACCATTTCAGGTACGAAAACAACAAGCTTGTGAAAGGTTAGTACGCCTGTAATCTGTGCTAACTATGGATTGTAATGTAGTTTACAGTGTGAACCCTGTCAGTTATGAAAACAATCAAATTGTGAAAGGTTTTAGTATGCATGTTGGGGAGGTGGGCTGTAATCAACCCAGCATCCTGTCAATCCTACTGGATCGCTGTGCAGTTACTATGTACACTGTATTATCTATAGGTTGTAATGTAGTTTACAGTACGCTGTTTGTCTGTTTGTCTGTCATTCTGCATTTGTAAGCTTGCTGCTATTTGTGCCTGTGAATCCTAATGGATCGCTGTGCAGTTACTATGTACACTGATCGGGCTGCTCCATCTATTTGTGGGGAGCTGTGCCTGCTAGAAACCGGGTCCAGCATCCCATTGATACATCATGTAGTTCTGCGATTGTTGATCATTGTTTCCTGGGGCTGTGGTTATTTGTCTTGCTGGACCGGGACTCCATCGTCCCATGGAGCTGCTAGTAACACCCATCCCATTCTTGGAGCGCCCATTATCTGCTAACCCAGCCCTATTCTGCAGCCGCCCTGGTTTGTGTGAAATGGATTGTGCGTGTTTTTTTCTCAGTCAGTGTCTTATTGCAGTCCATTGACCTATGTTGCTAGGATAGCTGGTTTTGGATTCTGATTGACTTTTTGATTGCTTGATTTTTTTTTATTTTTTATTTTTTTTTTGTAGGGGGGAGCGGCGGTCGTTGTGGTGCAGAATTCAATTGGGTGGGATGTTGGGGTCTTTAATCGGCTGCTGCCGTGGTCCCCACATTGTCAGCTCCGGTTCCTCTGCAGTCCTCGTTGGTCCTTTTTTCAGATGCAGATCCTAGGCTGTATTCCCCTATACTACACTCGGTCCTTTGGGTGGTGCCTATCCCATCGCTATCCGGGAAGAAGATGTCAATCGGCCCGTCGTCGTCGTCGTCCTCCCCCATGCTCCCATCGTCGTCCTCCCTCTCCACCTGGAGCACCAAAGCTTCATCCTCCAGGGAATGTTCTGAGGAGAGGATATGGGATGTGATGATCGAGGCCAACGAATCAATCATGACCTCCTCCAGGCACCACTTGCCTGCAAGTGTGCTGTACGGCAAGGCGGTCACAGTGTTCCATGCTCTCCACACCAGGCCCTCATTCAGTCTTGCTTTTTCTTCTAGTTTTACGAGGATTGGCTCAAAGGACTTGGCTGTGGCGAGTTCCTGGATGGTCTTATCCGAGTCTTCTGTTGGGGGGGAGGGGATTCCATAAACTTCCAGGTGGAAGTCTTCAAAGATCCCTTCCCTGAGGGCTCTGGCCAGCGTCAGCTGGTCTCCCACAGTCGGGGTGGCAAAGGATACGTCGGTGGCTACCTGCCACTCACATAATTCCCTCCTATTCCGGACGGGGACCAAGGGTCTGACCGCCTTGATGGTTTTGCGATCTGAGGCAGCTTTTTCAGTGACATGGGGAGCCTTTGCCTGTCACATTTTGGATAGTGCAGTACTCTTTTCTGTGTCTTTTTCGGCAGTCCTAGTTCTGATCAAACAGGCATTTTTTTTGAGCTGCAACAAGGCGACTTCAGCCATCATCAAGATATCTGACTTCAAAGGCTCCTCCATTTTCAGCGGCAACAGCTGACGCAGTCGCCTCATCATACACAAGTCCCCAAGAGGTCCCCAGGAGGTACGGTAACCGTCCACCCTGCGGCCAAGCCAGCCACTGAGCTACAATAAGCTACTACTCACACAAGTAAGAAGCGGATTAAACGGAAGCCGCTACTCCTCCCTCCGCCTCCCTCTCACCTCCAACAAGAGCTCCAAGCTCCTCGGCCGCCCGACTGCTCCCCCTCCCTCCCCAACTATCCTCTGCTTACCCCCTCAATCCCCTGTCTGCTCACAAATCAACAACTTCACCTCCCTCACATGGCTC